GTGCTGCGCACACGCTAGCTGGAGGAGGCATGCCTTCGCTGGCTCAGTCAAGTCAACGCCGCTTACCCCTCTCCTAGCTCTCTCACACTTTCCGCGCTTGATGAAGGGCCCTGCTGAAGCCGACCTATGATTGCTGCTGTCTGCGCGCATTGCTCCATCTGCGCGCTCATGCACGGCTGCCTCTGCCCAGCTCGAGGGCACAGCACACCCATTCGCTCGAATCATGGTTCAGCGAGGAGCACATCTACCGAACCGATATTTCATTGTGAGTACAGTAGCTTCAGTCGATGACTGTAGTGGTAGACTGACTGTCTGCGTTGGTGCAGTCAGCAGCATACTTGCCGCTGATGTGTGCAACATTCATAATCGTAGACTCTTGACTTGCGAGTTGCCGGGGCCGCCTACCTTGCTAATCACGATTGCACTCGCTCGTCACTCCTCCAGCAAGTCTCCAAGCGTTTAGACACGCGCAAGCACCTGATCTCGGTGTTTGCAGACGCAGGCGCGAGCGCAAACGCGGCGTATGACGACATCTTCAGGGGGCTTGTGCTCTCGAGCGAGCAGAGTCACAATCCGCGATTCGTCAGTCGCAAGTCAGGAGTCAGGCGCACAAGGGAAAGGACAAGGGGCGGGGGGGAAGACGAAATGAGCCACGTACCGTACGAATTTGCGATTCACAATCTTCAGTTCAATCAGTCAAGGAGTCCAAATCAAAGCGGAATGAGTCAATTCGAAAAAGACGTTAGTTACCCTTTGACTACATGTGATGGATGACGTGCTGTGCCGAGACAAAAGAACGCGCGAGCTTGAGGAACAAGGTCGCGCCGCGCTTGTGCGTGCGATCTCGGATGTAGGTATAGGTACCGTACGGTCAAAAGTCAAAAGTCAAAAGTCACGAGTGCAAAGCTATCTCACCTGAGGCTGCTGCAAAAAGTGAGATTTCAAAAAGGGGCAAAAGTTTCATCCGTTGTATTCTCCCATGCGCGCTCAAATGCAACTGCGTTCGAGCAGAATCGAGATTTACTGGTACGGTACGGTACCTATACATGGGGTCGAGTCAAGAAAGATCTCGGATCAGCAGCTATGTAAAGCTGGAGCTGGACAGTATATAGGCGCTAGCGCGGTCTCGGTGCATATAAGACGCGTGGCATGGGCCTCTCGCTGCTTCATTTCAAGACTTGGCAAGAGCAGGTTTGAATCAAGAATCCAACGGGCTCCTAATCTTGAATTTGGATGTTGATATATTGAGGGACAACTTTGAGGGGGAGCCACCCATGACTACGCTTGCACTCAGCACGACTCGATCGAGACTCGCGACCCTCTTCTTCTCCGCTGTCCGCTGACTGACTGCACGCTGCTGATGGCGAGGCGAGCTCCTCTTTACGGCTATAGCTGCTGCAGCTAGACTATCTCGCATGCATGCATCAGCTGAAACGAAAATGTGCTTGTCAATTCAATGCCTGATGCTTGCTTTCTTAGTCGAGTGATTCGCTCGAGTTGTTTTAATTGCGTTGCTCATGCAGCATATTCACTCGTCTTGACTTTTGACTCTTGACTCTTGACTTGTATGGCGTGCGGTTCATTTTAAACTCGTGACTGCATGACATGCAGCGCATGCGCATGAGGACAGGCAGGCAGGCAGGTGAGGTGTCGCGTAGACCGCGCTCTCTCCACGCAGTCGCACGCAAATAAGACACGCAGACGCAGACGCGACTGCTGCTGCTGATGCTGCTGCATGCATGCATGCTGCTGCTAATATTTATTATATGCTGCTGATGTACCGATACCGCTGCGGTGGCCGCGTTCGTGACGCGACCTCTTTTTTAGCGCGCTATGCAGCATGCTGCTGCTGCTGCTGGACACTTTGACTCAACGACTCATCACACCGCGGTGAGCGCTAGCGCCTAGCTGAGCTGCGCTTGCAACACAGCGAGTCAGCAGCAAGCTACACCGCTTCCTTCCTCACTCTTGCACTCATCCATCCACGCTCATCCCGCGCACCACCCACACTGTGACTCTCACCACACCATCACCACCAGCATCCAAACGGCTGCGTCGGGTGTCGTCTGTGCCCTTCTTCTTGCAGGTTGACCTCGCATCGCAAGTCCTCCGAAAACACTCTGGTCATCTACCATCTCAACGCGACTCATTTACTCCGACGATTCCGAATTCATTACGATTGATTTACCGAGTCGCAGCGGTGGTGCTTGCATTGTCACTGACCGCAAGGCTTACTCACATCATCCAACATTCTCATTTCTATGGCCATCCATGCATCTTACATCGACGACATCATTCGATCCAACGTCACAAGCTCCACGCACCTTGCACCTCTCCCTCGCACCATCCACACAAGCCCCACGGCAGGCTTCTTGCCACTGAGCTCTCTAGGCCGTCTTCCAATGTATGCGGGTGCAACGAGCAGTGTGGGTCTGATCAGAAATGTCGGCGACAGCGCCTCTGTCGCCTCACCACTCGCCTCACAGTCCCATGCTTAGCCTCTCGCCGCTCGGCGTGCATGCCAAGCTGCCAACACCTCCTCACGCCACCCAAGCCCTCGAGGTCTTGTCATCCTCATTCAACTTTCCCGAACCGCCCAGTCGAATATTCAGAGATGGTCTCGCCTCCGCTCGCTCTTCGCCCAGAGCCAGTCGGGCGGGTAGTCCGCCGCCGCCGACGATGCGCAAGAAAAGGAGTCCGAGGAACAGCGCGAAGCGCTTGACGCAAGAGTCTGCAAAGGCTCGCCCCCCCGTGCCTGATCTGCCCTCCCCTGCTCAGAACGACTTTCCAGCTTCGGCAATCTCGGCCCCTACCTCACCTGCCAACTCATCAGCACTCCCATCATCGCAGCCTCTTGGCGTGCGAGGCAACCGTCCTAGCCACAGCAGCGCGCCTCCAGAGCAGTCCAGGGCTGCGCCAAGTACGCAGCATCCACACGCGCACCTACAGGCAGCCGGTTCTTCCAATGTCTCCTCTGCGAGACTTGAGCATGCGCTTCTTGGAAATGTGGGATATGCGAGCGACGCAGGAGTCGTCGCGCAAGAAGCAGGAGGGCTCGGCTTGCACATGGCAGAGGCGGTGGAGGCCGACGAAGGAGATGTGGAGCAGCGTCTCTCCTTCGTGAGTGGAAGCGGCCAGAGGCACTCCGCCGTACCAGCTTCGCAGCGAGTGTCGAGCGGCTCAAGCATTTATTCGGATCAGCAAGAGTACCTGGCTCAAGCAGGGGATGAGACTGGCGATGGTAGCGCTGGCGGGCTCAGTCTGTCGAGTGACAGCGACTCGTACATGCCCGTGACGCCAGCTACGCCGGGTCACTCTTTCAGCTCTTCCTTCTCCACCTCGTCCACTTGGCGACCGCGCGAGCTCACCCTGGCACGGGCGGATGCGCAAACTGAACGAGAGCGCTCTTTGGCCGGTCTTGCTCTCAACCCGCGCTCCGCCTCGCCGATGATGTCCCCCTGGTCCTCTTCATCCACCATTGGTGTTCCGCGCGATAGACTTTCGCCAGCGCCAGGAACATCTTCACCATCTCATATGCGAGGCGTAGCCGGCAGCTCTTCTGCAAACACGAGCCTCAGCAGCGGCGGTGGCCACAATAGCGGTGCTGCAGGCACTCGAGGCCTCATGCTCGCTTCAGCAGCGGCTCCTCCAAACTCCGCGCGGAATTTCCCACCTCTAGCCCTGGCGCTTCCTGCCTCGACAGGTGCTACATCCACCGACGCTGCTCCGCCACGATCTTCGCCGTTGGCACCCAGAAGCAGGTTTGTGAGCGCTCCCGGCGCACCTCTGACCAGTCAGGCTCCGCTTCGAAGTCCACTTCCTGTGCTCTCGCGCGGACCAGCATTTCCGCCTGCTCGAGATGCGACTCTGGAGAGCATGGCTGCTGAGCGCGTGCCCAACGAGGATCTGGGAGCACTACAGGCCATGCTTCCTCATCGACGGCTTCTGAGCGGGTCGAGCGCAAGGCTATTGAGCCCTGCGCTACACAGCGCGAGTACGCAAGGCGTCATTAGTCCCATAGCTTCCAAGCCCAGCTGGGAGAAACCTTTTGGAGAAGCACGCAGCGCGAGCAGCGACTCGCAGCATGGGAATGAAGCGCGGCCAATGGATCCGGAGGTATTTGTCGCTGCTATGCAGGCGGCATCGGCCGCCGAAGTGGCGGCAGCTTTGGAAGCGAGGAAGCAGCTGCGAAGTACCGCGTCAACGAGCCAGCTTGCAGAAGAGGTCAAATCGGCCCCTTCTGCGCGTCCGCAAATGCCAACGAGATCCCGATCGCAATCCTTTTTGCGCTCCTCGTCGATGACGCGTCGCAGAGCACCACCGCCTCCCCCACTGTTGCTCGCCACTGCCCCTTCGAATCCAGACATGGCCGGAGCCATTAGCAAAGACACGTCTGCGCCGACGACGAAGGATTCGACGCTCGACGCCGCCTCGAGCAGCGTGGTGCCTGACAACACCCTCGAAGCGACGCAGGAAAGTCCAGAATTCGTCACTGCGCCTGGCATCTCCTCCTCCCCCAGCTTCGAGATGATCACCCATCGCGCGGGGGATCAGGATCGGGGCGAAAGCCAGAATCTTCTCGCACCCCTCAGCTTGCCCCTCGCTGGAAGCGCTTCTCCCATGAGCGCCGTGTTCCACACTCCGCTTGCCAGCCCAGCCAATCTGCCCTCGCCAGAATCCGAGTCTCGATCGTTGGATGATTCCTTGATGATGGCTGTCGTGGAGGCTCAGATCGACACTGCCATTGTGGACCCTCCTGCGGAAGCTGGGAACGATATCGCCATGCCCGAGACCTCGAGAGCGGAGGAGGAGGAGGAGCACGTCACTGCGGATGCCCCCGACGAAGCTCTAGAGGTTCTGGTGGATTCGCCATTGCAGACACCCTCGAACGAGCTGACTGCTAATCCGAGAATAGAGTCGCGCGAGAATGCAAGGGCGTTTGGAGCTAGCAGCAGTCTGAGCGTACGACCTGGATCGTTGGAACAACCCAACACGGCTTACTTTGACTTTGATAGCGACGGCAGCGACGCTTCCGAAGGTATACGCGAGCCGATGATCTTTAGGAAGATGAAGACCAGGAGCATGGTCCAGGAGACCGCGCCGGAGCCGAAGCCGGAGCAGACGCAGCGTTTGTCGGTGGCAGATGTCAGGTCGAGCTTGACGTCTGGGTCGGAAGCAGCGGACGCTGCGGAGCCCGCGCTGGGAGGGAAAGCGTTGAGTGAGGCGGAGGCTGAGTCTGCTCGTGAATCATCGGCGGCTCTGAGTCTGAGCGCAAAATCAGATGAAGCGGGTGAGTGTTTTGGGCTCATAGTCTTGCCGATGGCGGCGACAGAGCGCTGATCGAGAGCGTCTTGGTACGCAGCTGGTGCAGCGCCGTTCGAGTTTGACGATGCAGATGCAGAATCCGGAGGTCACGAGAGTGTAGCCGTTATGCGCCGGTCCTCGTCATGGGGCAATCTGGAGCCTTTTGAGGAGCGCAGGGTCTCGTCGCCCAACAGTTCGGTGCAGGGACGAACTTCGATACCGCCAACGATCAGCTTTAGGACTTCGATCTTCAAGCATCTTGACCCCAAACGCGCTTCTGGACCGAAAAGCGCATCGGAGGCTCGGGCGGATATCTCTCCTTTTGACACTGATGGCGGCGATGAGGATCCGCTGGAGAAGGCTTCTTCAAGACCAAGTGCGGCCGTCTCGACGGAAGACGTGCTTGTCGATATGCTGTCA